GAATCCAAACTGGAAGCTGGTTCCACAGAAGAGGGGCCTGAAAACTGAAGGCTCTCCCTCCTATTCTACTTTTAAATACTCTAGGAACAACAAGTAGGCCTGCAGAGCGAGAGCGAAGCTCTAATAGGGTGATATGGTACTACAAGGTCATTGAGATAAGATGGGGCCTGATTATTTAAGTGTTTGTAAGGTAATCCGTAAATAACGTCCTTAGGGGATAAATAAATTCTTTCTGATTAGCTAGTGTATCACTTAACCAGCTAGCTAAGTGAGACACAGTAGCGAGTTTCAATGCCTTTATTTTAGTTGCAAGGAGACAAAAGCATACACAATGAACATACATTTCCTCAGCTTACTGTAAAGAGTTGCGTAGCTTTAATTTCAGAACGTGTTGCATAACTTTAATAATTTTTCTATAAAATCCCTTGTGTTTATGCTACACTCTAATATAATATTTACAAATAAATAGTGTACTGTTTTTCTCCTAATATATCAGGCTTATGTCTCGCCTGTCTAGGTTTTCAACATAGTCATTATTGTATTTAACTTAAGTACTGTCCATAGAGTCATCATGGGCTGTAGGTCGTCTTGTTAGGTCTCTTTCTGCTCTATTTAGCGATACAGATAGATGGTCCTGGACAGAGCAGTGTAAAAACTTTTAGGGTAAGAAATTTTCTCATGCACGCAATGAAGCAGCATCCACAGACAGTCAGGAAGGCCACTGCAACATGATTAAAAGAAAAGACACACTACCACTCCATCTACCAAATCACTGTTCCATGAAAGGTTTGAATGGATCACTTGTCCCTGAGTGCTAGGCCAATTCGTCAACAAGGGTGATGAGCTACTTTAATGCTTGAATAACAGTGCCATCAGGTGCAGTGTTGTTAGGGATAAACATGAAAGAACTAGCCTCAAATATCAGTAGAAATCAGGGGCAGGAGCAGTGAAGTGCTTCTAAACAACTTCAGCATACATGCTAAGCTGCTTACCTGATGTCAGTTGAAATGGTGATGTGGCCCGAGTTGGCATAGCAGGAGCCTACACCACACACCTAGAAACATTAGCTTGGGAGAGAGACCAAAACACACACACAGTTTATTTTTGTAACACGAGGGCTGCCACGATAAGTCAACTAGTCACGATTACGTCGAGATCGTCGACGACTAATTTAATAGTCCACGCGTCCTGAAAGATGCGGGAATAAGTACTAGGATTTATGGGTGTAATAATGGACTGAAACAGAAGATGGCAGTAATGCATGTACAAGGATGCCAGCTGCTGTTAAACACCAAATAATGGTAAATGGCCTGTATTTGTATAGCACTTTACTTAGTCCCTAAGGACCCCAGAGCGCTTTACACTACATTCAGTCATTCACCCATTCTCACATAGATTCACACACTGGTGATGGCAAGCTACATTGTAGCCACAGCTGCCCTGGGGCGCACTGACTGAAGAAGAAGAAGCAGCAGCAGCAATCTCAGGTATCGTAGCTGTGTCCAAATTTAGGGGCCACATCCTTCAGAAGTCGCATTTGTAGACAGATTACGTTACAGCGACGCAACGCAGGCTGTCCAAATTCAACGACTCCCCCAAATGCGGCTGGACAAATGTGTCCTCCTTTTCCCTAGATGTGAAGGATGGGTTGGGTGTATCCAGAATTCATAGCACGACCCAGCCAATTCCAGTTTACAACAATGGCGGCAGCTACTTAGTTTTAATATTATTCTTTCTGGGTCACAAAATAAACTTTTAAGATATTTTCAGGCGAGAACTGTGTAACCTTAAAATATTAGCTCGATTTATCAAGACGTCCCATATTTGCAAAAGTGCTGTGACGTTTTTGGAGATGTCTGTTACCCACCAGCTTGAAACCTAGTCGGGGGTTCAAGGCTCACTAGAGCAGGTGAGAACAGCGAACTCCCAGCACATCGTTTTCAGACCCCCGCGGTCTTTCGCTACTCAGGTTAAACATGACATATAGGGCTAACACATAGAGACAGACAACCATTCGCACTCACACCTGTTCACAATTCAGAGTTAACCCAACCCCATTAACTGCATGTCTTTGGACTATGGGAGGAAACCAGAGTACCCGGAGAGAACCCACGCAAACTCCAAACAGGAAGACCCCAGTCTGATGGTGGATTTGAACTCAGGGCCTTCTTGCTGTGAGGCAACAGTGCTAACCACCGTGACACCATGCTGCCCTATAAAAAAAACAAAAATTATGTGTGAAAAATTATATGTTAAAACTATTGGTGCCTACCAGTCTTACGCCTCAGAGTCCTAGTAGATGCACCTGTGGTATGAATTTAAAAATCCAGTTTTGATGGGTTCTCAAATCACCAAATAAGAATATTCTAGATTACATGTTTCTTGCATTCAGTCTAGGTATAGA